GCCAGAGCTAGTACTTCTCATCTCACTAGTTCTTAGAATGTTGATGTTCTTGCATTCAATCTCATTTTTCATGATTTCTAGGTATCCAATATTCACACTTTTTGTATATCCATGTTCCAGTTAATAAAGGATGTTTGTCACTATTTTTCCTCATTTTTACTGACTTCCAGTCTGGGCTCTACCTCTAGTACTACAGCTATGTGTATAATAGGAAAGCCTGTTTTATGACTATTATTCAAATACACACTCTTAGGTCTAGAGAGAAAGAGGAAGAAATTGAAAACTTTGACCAAATCTTGCGGTCTGAAATTGACCAAACATGCAGTCAAGATGGGTTAATGATAATTGGTGACTGGAATGCAAAAGTTGAAAACAAAGAAGGAATACTAATAAGAAAGTATGGATGCGCTTGGCAACAGAACTGAGGCTAGAGATAGAATGATCTCATTTTGTATTTTCATGGGCCTCATCTGATGGGCTGCATAGGAATTAGAGTGACATCTGTGGAAGGAATCATTGCAGACAATATCAGCAGTCAAAACTAGGCCGGATGGATTGTGAAGTCACGCCGTAAATTACTCATGTGCAAGTTCAAATTGAGTCTGAAGAAAATGAAAACAGTTCCATCAGGACCAAAACAAGATTTTGAATCTTTTCTACCTGAATTTCAAAATCTTCTTAAGAAAAGGTTTGAAGCATTGAACCGCAGTGATGAGATGAGTTGTGGGATGACATCAAGCATCCATGAATAGAGCAAAAGTCATTACAGTGACAGAGGAGAAAGGAAAAACCAAAATGGGTGTCAGAAGAGACCCTGAAAATCTCACGAGGACATCGAGAAACAAAACAAAGGGAAGAGGTGCTGAAGTAAAGAGCTGGAAGAAGCTTTCAAAGGGCAGCTCGAGAAGAGAAAGTATTATAGTGGAATGTCCAGAGAGCTGGAATTGGAGAAGAACTCTCATTTCTCAAGCTGAGATAACTGTAAAACAGTTTAAGCTTCAAGTTGTAATATTTTTTTTAGTATGCCTTTGGTTTTTTATTTCCATAATGAAATAGATTGTTGTTGTTGTTGTTACGTACTGTCGAGTCCCTTGAGACTCATAGCGACCCTATGTACAACAGCTCTGAAGCCTGCCCTGTCCTGAGCCAGTCTTACTGACTCCAGCACACCTACGCCCATTGCCCCAGTTACTCTATCAATCCATCTCATCCGGGGTCTTCCTCTCCTAAGCTCTCCCTCCATCTTTCCAAGCATGATGTTCTTCTCCAAGGACTGATCCCTCCTGGCCACATGCCCAAAGTATGTGAGACGGAGTTTCAAAATCCTAGCCTCCAAGTAGAAATCTGGTTTCACCTTCTCCAAGACAAGCCTATTTTCTTGGCAGTCCATGGTACGTCCATCTCCAGCTCCACAATTCAAGGCATCAATTCTTCTGTCGTCCTTAGTCATTGTCCAGCTCTCTGATGCATAGCAAGTAATTGTGAAGACCATGGCCTGGATCAGGCAAACCTTAGTCTCTAGACTGACAGTGTTCCTTCTCAGCACTCTATCTAGAGAGGTCTCCGACAGCAGATTTTCCCAATGCAATTCATCTTTTGATTTCTTGATTGCTGGTACCAAGAGTGTTGATCAAAATATTTAGAGGCTTAGCAAATCAAGCACCAAAATGAAAAAAAAAACCCTAATAAATCAATCAATTATTTTTCTGTCTATCATCATGTGGTCCCATTCCTCCACTCTCCCACTTTTAAATTACTACAATGTCCTTTGAAGAAGTGGAAATCTTGTTCCTGGCAGAGTGCTGTGCAGCGTGACAGGGATGGGAGAGTTGCTTGGGGGCACGATCAGCGCGGGGCTGGACAGACACGGACTAACCTGGGGATTGGTTCCCTCCACAGAACTGCTTTCGGTCCGTTGAGGAACTCCTGTCCTTTCCCCCTCTCTTTTAATGTCCTTTTCTCCTTGTTTGGGCCACAGAGCATGAGGCCTCACGTCGCAGTATTGAAAGACGCTGTGGGCAATATGTTGAATGACCCAGGAAGCATCAAAAGAAGGAACAGAGAATACACAGAATCGCTGTACCAAAAAGAACGGACTGATACTGGAAAATGTTAGGGAATACCGTAGGAGCAGGAGCCATTGGTAATGAAGGAGGAAGGTGAAGCTACGCTGAAGGCATTGGCAAAAAATAGGGCCCCAAGAATCGATGAGACACCTACGGGCTTGTTTCCGTTAACAGTGCAGCCCTGGATGGGCTTCCAGTCTGTGCCAGGAAATTTGGAGGACAGCTGTCTGGCCAGCTGACGGGAAGAGGTCCTTATTTGTTCCCATTCCCAAGAAAGGTGATCCAGGAGAGCCAGAGAAGTGCTGTGGAGCCAGAGATTGTGAACTCCCCCAACAGCCACGACCCTCAACCAGGTGGGCGCCACGGCAGGGCCTGGGCCACCCTCCCATGGAAGGGAGAGGACATACTGGATCTACGACCCGGGGGCAGCACGCCTCCAGGAAGGGCTTCCTACGGGAAGAGAATTCCCAGCTGAGAGGAGCAGTGCAGGGGATAGAGATGTTAGGGGAGCTTTTGGAGGAGTCCCTGATGGAAGCATCCAGACTCCGGCACGAGGCAGAGGAGCTGGTCAAGGACAGTGAGATGCTCCAGCCACCTCCTTCCTTGGCCTCACTGAGCTCACAGGAAAAGACACAAATGTGCCATCACCACCTTCTGATCCTGCAGACATACGCCAGTGACAAGCCAGTCCCCAAGCCTCCATCCAGTGGTGCCCCTGAGGAGCAGAACTCTGCCAGGGAGTGGGGACAGCAAGGGGCACGACGGAACTGGGCCCCTGCCCTGTGGAGACGGCAGTCTGAAGCTGCACTTACAGCGGCTGGAGACAACCCTGACTGTGTGTGCTGGAGGAGCCAGACCCCAGCCAGCTCTGCACCCACTGGGGCTGCATGGCCTTGGAGTTCAACCTCACAGAAAGAACCATGCACTTCTATCCTGCAGACCCTGTGTGAGCGGCTTTGGAAGGAGAACGAAGGCCTGGAGGCCAGCCTGGACAAGGGCCTGGGAAGAAGGGATCCGGCTGCCGAGGGGTTTCAGGAGGGAGATACGTAGCTTAAGAAGTCGTCGATGAGCACCAGCCTCAAAGAGAGTTCCTCTGAGCACCCAGACACCCCGAAGATGGAAGGTACTGGGAAGAAGGTGGTGGCCGGCCACTAGCAGGCCTGTGTGACAGCAGGTGCCCAAGGCGACCGCCCTGGACACAGCTGTGAAGATGCTGGAGCACAGCGCTCTGAGTCGCTTGGAGCGCACAACGCTCTGGGGCAGCACTTGGGCCCTTGAAGCAGCAGTGCACGCAGGTCACTGACCTGCACCAGAAGCTGGGCGATGTCAAGGAAACCCAAATTCTCACCACTGGACGGGTAGACAACATCATTAGAAAAGATTGACATTGGCAGCGACTTCATCCTTCTGGATTCACAATGAACACTCCTGGTATCAGCAGTCAGGAAGTCAGGAGACAGTGCACTAAAAAAGTCTGTAGTTGGGGCCTCTCCAAATTACTGAACATTGTTGTCAGTTTGAGGACTAAAGTGCATCTGATTCAGGCCATGGTGTTTCCAGTCACTTGCTGTGCATCTGAAAGCTCAACAGTGAATAAGGATGACAGAAAAAAATGGACACCTTTGAGCTGTGGTGTTGGAGAAGAGCAGTGAACGTCCCATGAACGGCTAAGGGAACAATCAGATAGGTCTAGGAGAAATTTCAGTCAGAGTGTTCTCTGGAGACAAAGATGATAAAGTTCGTCTCACATACTTCAGTCATGTTGCTAGCAGGGGCTATTCCTTGGAGAGGGACATCACGCTTCAAAAGAAAAAGAGTCCGCGAAGGAGAAGCTGATGCTCACCCACATGGACTGTCAGTGACTGCTGCAGTGGCCTCTAGTGTGTCAGGGGGTGTGAGGACGCGCAGGATAGCACGGGGTTCAGATCTTCTATTCACAGGGTTGCTGTGAGTTACACTTGACAGCAGTTAACAACATTGCGTAAAGTGGCCGCCCACAGAATATTCAGTATTCTTTTCCAACACCCGAGTTCAAGAGTGTGACTCTCCTTTTTCCAAGCTCCTGGGAAGATGGTGGGCATTGAGAGCAAGCATGCCTCCGCGAAGCAGCCAGCTGTCTTCCGGAATAAAAAAGGTCCTGCTGGGAGAAGCCAGTGAGGAGACGCTCCCACTTTACTCCAGGAATTTCGGTCTGGCGTTCAGGACACCCAAGGAGGCCATTGAGGGCACCTGCCTTCACAGGAAGTGCCCTTTGATAACATCTGAGGGAGCATCCTGTCCGGCATGGTGACCGAGATGAAGAAGCAGAGGACGGTCGTCATCCCCGAGACGACCTCCACCACAGCCACAAGGACAGTGACTTCGTGCAGTGCCCCAGGCACATTTCTGTGCACCTGTCCCTTGCTTCAGAGACGTTCACACAGGCCCCATTGTCATATTGGCCAGTGCCGGTCACTGAGCTAGACCTGCACTTCACTGTGCTCAGTGTTCCCAGGAAGCTGTCACAGAGGTTCTGAGCTAGAACCACCTCCCAGGCAAACACAGCCACTTTCCCCATCAAAAAAAAAAAAAGAATATGAGTATCCTGTGGACTGAAAACCAAAGAGTACTGAGTGTCCCGGCACTGTCAGGAGAATCAATCATTGTGTCCCGGAGAACATGCAGCTGGAGTGCTCCTTGAAGGCAAAGATGGCAGACTGTGTCTCACACACGGCACGTGGCTAAGAGAGGTTTGGAGGAGGAGTGACATCATGCTGGGAGGGGTGGAGGCAGTCCCCCACCGGCTGGCCTGACAGTGACGCAGCAGTGGGCTCAAGTGTGCAGACATGACGGAGGGACAGGGTGCAGACCTGTTACTCTTAGGGTTGCTATGGGTCATACTCACGTGTAAAGTGGCCAGGTTTATAAAATAACACCTTTTTTTATGCTTTAAAGGTGGAGAAAATAAAAATTCTTTTGCGAAGTGTTGATCTGATGGACATCAAGGTTGGATCAGTGGAGGAGTTCCAAGGACAGGAGTACCTTGTCATTGTTATTTCCACGGTAGGCATCCGCTTCACTCGGGAGCACGTGTGCTCTGACTTCACCCAGTCCTGACCAGTTCTGGTGCATTCACGGCGAAGGGTAGTGGGGACCTGGGACAACCTCAGCCCCAGCCAGGGAATTGCTGGTCAAAGTTCTTTTTTTTAAGAAAAAAACCAAACTTAAAGATCAAGAAACTGGGAAGGCATCCAAAAAAGAGATGACAGATGGCTGGAAGAAGTGGTGAGGTGGTTAAAGCAAAGAGGTCACAGCATGCCAGGGTAGGAGAGAACAAGTGTGGGCTGAGAGGGTTTAGGATGCCCCCAGCCCAGCCGCTGCTTGAAGCGTCACTCTGTAGTCCTAAACGTTCGTTTGTTAGGGTGCAGATAAGCTTGAACTTTGAGTGAAATCACCTAACGCACTCAGCCCACCCGCCAGATGGGACACAGCCCTGGGATGCAGCCACAGGGCCTGCAGGCCTCTTGGTTTCCGTGGAACCAGAAGTGGCCTTGCATATCTGTTGAATCAGGCAACTCCTTCCTGCCAAAAAAACATGAGCATGTTTTTATTCATCCCTGTATTTTTAGGTCCGATCGAATGAAGACAGATTTGAAGATGATAGGTTTTTTTTGGGCTTCTTGTCCAACTCGAAAAGATTTAACGTGGCGATCACCCGCCCCAAGGCCCTGCTGATTGTTCTGGGGAACCCGCACGTGCTGGTCAGAGTGAGTGCCTGTGGCGGGGAGGGCCAGACCACATTGCCTGTAGCCGCTGGACTCCGGCCCCATTCTCTTCCCACAGGACCCGTGCTTTGGGGCTTTGCTGGAGTACAGCATCTCCAATGGGGTCTACACAGGATGTAACCTCCCCCCAGAGCTTCAGACCCTGCACATGTGAGCAGCTCCTGCCAGCCCTGCCCTCTCTGGGGGAGGGGCTCTCGCCCTACAGCGCATCCCTGCTGCCACCACAGTGCCCGGCCTAGACGTGGCAGCCTCGTCCCCCACATGCCTGGACCTAGTAGACCGGGCGGGCTGTTGGAGGTCCTGGGCTCCCCAGCCCCAGCCCTCACTGGCTGTGCATTTCCTTGCCCACAGCTGTGACCACTCAGCCCAGCGGGAGCGGGAGCCTCAGGAGTCCGAGCATGCCCTCGGAGGAGGACTGGCTGGCCTGCCCACGCCTGCAGAGACTGTGGCCCCCAGGGACCATGTGGCTATGCCGTGACCTTCCTGTCCCCACAGAGTGTGAACCCCCACTCCTACCTCCCTAATAAAGACCCTCGTGGGACTGGGCGGTGTCCTTCCTCAGTGACCAGTGCTCCATCCTCCTGGGAACGAGGAGAGGCATGTGCGCTGCCTGTCGGGTGTAACTCTCCCGAGGCCAGGCCAGGGCCTGCATGTATGCTGTGCACAGCCCCAGGGCAGCTGTGCTGCTGGGCCAGACAGGTGAGGTCAGAGGAGCAAAGCCAGTGCTCACAGCCAGGGGGCAGGGACAGCCACCACCTGCACTGGACTGCCCTGCGGACTCTACACCCCCGCCACCAGTGACTGGGACTGTTCAGGGGGAGCAGGGTGGCCAGCTTAGCTGGTCACTCCCCTGTCCCCAAGCCCTGATGCCACCAAGCAGCCGTTCCCAGACTCCTGCCAGTCAGGGTGACCTGCTGGGCCTCACTGCTTCGGCTACGGTGGTCGCCTAAACACACAGCTGTTGGCTGCAAAGCCCACCCTGCTAACCTGTACCTATAACACACTCAAGGCCCAGCCAACCTCCACAGGCCCTGGGCGCAACCCACCGTGCTTTGCAGCCTCCAGCAGCCTGGTGACGTAAACCACGGGCCAGCTAGCTGCCCTGCTACACAGTCCAAGCTGCTGGGGTACCAGGGGTACCCAGGCTCGCATCCCCACTGCAGGCTCACAGCCATGGCCTCTTCTAAAAGAGATAAGAGCTCGCGACCTCCCCCCCTTGCCCCAGGGGATCTCACCCAACCCTGTAGCCGCCCTCAGCCAGCACCACAGGGGAGTGGTGGTCCTGGGGTGAGTGGATGGAAGCCCAGCCTGTGGCCCTTTCCCCCAGGCTCCTGCCCACCCACACTGTGCAGCAGGACTGTCCTGTTTGTGTTCCGATCCCTTCATAGGTGAGGAGCCCAGGGTTCAGGCCTAGTTACACCCCAGCTCTACCACAGCCCTCATGGCCCCAGACCCAGATCTGCTCTTTCTGCTTGACAGAAAGCGAGCATCCATCCATGGACACTGTTGGCCCAAAAGACCAGGTGGATGGGTCAGTCCTGGTGCAGGGTATTCTCAGAGCCCCAAGGACCCTGCCTCTCCTGACAGCCTGGGAGCTTATGGGTCCCAGTGCTGGCAACGCAGGCCAGCAGTGCAGGTCCTACCGCAGCAGGCCAGGGGCACACCCACAACATCCCAGAGTGGATGAGGAAATGCGTGCCTGGGCATGGGGCCGGTGTGGATGGGGGTCCTAGGTCAGCTTGCGCCTGGGCGTGGGGCCGGGGTGGACAGGGGGTCCCAGGCTTGGTAGACTTTTCAGAAGCTTCTCCGGAGCCACCCTGTGTGGGCACCTGCCAGCCCCTCCTGGGTCTGGAAATGCCGGATTTTGTGGGGAGGCAGGAGGGGAGTAAAGCCACCAGGAACAGATGGCCACGTCCCGGAGCAGCAGGCCTGGGCCCAGTGCCACGCTCCTGTCCCCACGCACTGCATGGTACACCAAGGACACTGATTCTGCAGCTCCTGAGGACGTAGGACAGGCCCCAGCCTTTCTTGGACACTCTGCCTTTCCACAGGGTCAGAAGACTGGACACAGGTGTCAGTCCCACGGGTCAGGGGGTCCCAACACCCCCAAACACCATTTCACATTTGTAGGTGGGACAGAGGCATAGGAACCACAGTGCCCCCAGCAGAGGGCTGTGGGAGCAGAGAAGAGGCTCACCCACTAGCCCTCTTGCCCCCACCCAGACTCCACCTGCCTGACCTCAGGTGCACATTCTACAGTGAGAAGCTGTGGTAGCCTCACTTTGTTCCTCCCCTCAGTCCTGAGGAAGGTCAGGGCTCACACCAGGGTCTGAGAGGCCCTGGGCACCACTGTCTACTACCTACTGCAGCTGTGTGGTTCTGTGATTTGTAATAGGCAACGGGGCATGAACTGCTGTCTAAACAAAGGCCACTGCTCAGCTTCCTCTGCAGGGCCTTTGTCCACGTTGGGCGTTACACGGGTCCCAGAGCAATGGGACAGTTCCCGGTTAGCTGAAGTCACCATGTTGGGTGACGTGACCTATCCTGTCAACACTGCAGCCCACACCTCATGACCTGCTCCCCTTTGTCTGTGTTAACCCTGAGGCTGCCTGAGGGCTCCCTGCTAGAGCCCCACTCTATTCAGACCCTTCCTGAGGATGAGGGTACAGTGGGCATGGCTGCTGCAGTGGTGACAGCACAGGCTGAAATACATGTGGGAAAATAGAATAGATCCGAGTCATCCTTGGGGACGTCTGCTGTCAGAGGCCTCTCCAGAAGGCTAAGGAGTAGGTGCACCTGGTCAAGGTCATGGTCTTCACAGTTACTTGCTATGCATCAGAGAGCTGGACAATAAGGATGATAGAAGAATTATTAAAGTCTTAAGAGTTACGGTGCTGGGGAAGACTGTGGAACATATCGTGGACTGCTAAGAGAACAAACAAGTCTATCTTGGAGAGAGTGAAATCAAGTTTCTCCCTGGAGGCAAGGCTTTTGAAGCTCCATCTGGGTGCATGTCCAGGAGGGACCAGTCCTTGGAGAAGGACATGTTTGGTAGGGTAGAAGGACAGCACAGGAGAGGGAGATCTCAAATGAGATGGATTGACACACAAACTGGGATCGTGAGGGTGGGTATATTTGAGTCAGTGAGACTGGCTCAGGCAAGGAAAGGGTTCAGAGCTATTGTCCATAGGGTCACAGTGAGTCTCAGGCAACACAATGGCACATAACAAGTCATTCTTGAAAAATAACAGACTTCTGGGGGGAAGATGATGTATACAGACATCAGTCAAGACCCTCTTGGCAAACATTAGAACCTCGAGAGCCATGATTAAAAGTAGGGGAGAATAGTCAAGGAAGAAAACAGAATGAGAAGACAGCCAGCACAGTCCCTTACTCAGTGTAACGGGATCCAGGTCATCGAGGTGTCAACCCACACCTGATGGGAAAGGTGCACTATTATGCGTCCTTGTTCTCCATTCCCCTCAGGAGATCCAGTTAGTGTCTGTCCCCCAACAACCCGTAGACTGGCAACATTGCTTAGATTTTTAGGATTCCCTGTTGTCAAACCTGTACTTTTTTTCATTGGGAGCTTGTGTAACTCTAAAATGATCCATCTGTTTATTGTGGGGTGTTAGGTGCACCATCCTCATTGTCCTGGTCAGACCCATTGTGATAATCGCTGTGCTTGTCAGTGATTTCACTGTACTTGGGTCTACAATCAACACTCTTGGTGGTGGTCGTTACGTGCTGTTGGCTACAACTCATAATGACCCTATGAACGATGGCCCAGAATCTTGCCCTGTCCTGAGCCAACCTCATCATCTCTACCCTTGGTAGAAGCACTCAAGAAATCAAAAGATGGTTTGCATTGGGGAAGTCTGCTGGGGACCTCTCCAAAGTTTTAAAGAGCAAGAATATCAGCTTAAAGACTAAGGTGTACCTGAGCCCAGTGTTAGTATTTTCAGTTGTTTATTAATGCATCTGAAAGTTGAACGATGACTAGGGGAAACTGAAGAATGAATACCTTTGAATTGTGACGTTGAAGAGGATTGAAAAAAAATCATTAGCTGCCAAGAGAACAAAGAAATCTTGAAGAAAATGCAACCAAGGTGTACCTCAGAGCCAAGGAGGTGAAAATTATCTTACTCATGTTGAGTGTATTTTCTGGGAGAACCAGTCTTTAAGAGACAGCATGCTCAGAAAGGTAGAGTGTTGGTGAAGGAGAGGAAGACCCTCAGATGCATTGACGTACTGACTGCTACAGTAGGACCAACATACAAATGAGGAAAAGTTTGGGGACTTAGAATTTTTTTAAATGTTTATCAGGGGTATTCTAAGGATAAGAGAAACACAGAAAACATCTAAGAATACAAAACAAAACAAAAACTGCAAGAACAAAGGTATATTAGAAACTACAAAAAAAGCCAAGTGAAATTCAGAATATAAACATTAGCATTGCAGAAATAGATAATGCATGGGAAAGGCAAAAGAGCAGAGTGGAAGAAATAGAGCATCGAATCCATGAATTGGAGGACAAATTTTTTTTTTATTATTTTGTGTATATGTGTCTGTGTACTGTCAGATCAGATCTGACTGGTACAGGAGGAGATTGCCCCTCCTTTCCCGGCAGAGCATCTGGTGGATTTGAACCATGCGTCTCTGGGATTGCAGTGCAGCTTCTTGCCACTAGGCCACCAGAGCTCCCCTTGGAGGAAAAATTTCTGAGTATTAATCTTACAGGAACAGTCAGAATAAAGGAAAGTAAAATGTAAGAATTATGTGGGGACATCAAGAACATGTTATTGAAACCATAACAAAACAACTATAAGTTGCACAAATTGTTGAAAATTAGCTGCTTCAAAATTTCCTGAACATTATGAAAAATGAGAAAATTTGTGATTAAGGAGTTGATTGAACCCCAAAAGAATAAACTGGGGTTTTTTTTTGTGGTTTTTTTTGTAGAATAAACTTTTTAAACCCAGTAACATAAAGTTTCCAAAATTAAGCAAAGGAAGAATACAGAAAGCCACGTGGGAGTCACAGAGCATTACCTCCAGTGGAGAACCATCAAGCTGTGATCTCAGCAGGAACTGTGCACACAAGAAGGCAGTGAGGTGATGCAGATTACTATGCAACATTCACAACTCTGATGGCAAGAGAACGAGATCGCACACAGCCGATCACTCTGATGGAGAGAGAACTGTTGACCAAACTCATAAATGACAATAATGGCCAGCCCTCCAGGAACCCTGAGCAGTCCTGAGAGCCTGGACCTGATAAGAGAACTTTGTCTCACCGGTCAGTATACAGCCTTCAGTACGTCAGTCAGGGAGACTCACCCAGGAGGGCACTCAGCTCTCAGAACACCAGCCACTCAGGGTCCCAAAGGCAACATCAGCCCAGGAATAAAACGAAAACAGAAGAGAGGAGGAAGGGATGAGCAAAGGTGACAGGAGTTCTGATGCACATGACCATTAG